CCATTTTGGTTGCTTACCTGGATTGCCTGACTCTCCTTGTGCCGCCTGTCTCTGTTCCTGACTCTCCTAGTGCCTCCTGTCTCTGTTCCTGACTCTCCTAGTGCCTCCTGTGTCTGTTCCTGATTCTCCTAGTGCCTCCTGTCTCTGTTCCTGACTCTCCTAATGCCTCCTGTCTCTGTTCCTGACTCTCCTAATGCCTCCTGTCTCTGTTCCTGACTCTCCTAGTGCCTCCTGTCTCTGTTCCTGACTCTCCTAGTGCCTCCTGTCTCTGTTCCTGACTCTCCTAGTGCCTCCTGTTTAGGTTCCTGATTCTCCTAGTGCCTCCTGTCTCTGTTCCTGACACTCCTAGTGCCTCCTGTCTCTGTTGTTGACTCTCCTAGTGCGACCTGTCTCTGTTCCTGACTCTACTAGTGCCTCCTGTCTCTGTTCCTGACTCTCCTAGTGCGACCTGTCTCTGTTCCTAAATCTCCTAGTGCCTCCTGTCTCTGTTCCTGACTCTCCTAGTGCCTCCTGTCTCTGTTCCTGACTCTCCTAGTGCCTCCTGTCTCTGTTCCTGACTCTCCTAGTGCCTCCTGTCTCTGTTCCTGACTCTCCTAGTGCCTCCTGTCTCTGTTCCTGACTCTCCTAGTGCCTCCTGTCTCTGTTCCTGACTCTCCTAGTGCCTCCTGTCTCTGTTCCTGACTCTCCTAGTGCCTCCTGTCTCTGTTCCTGACTCTCCTAGTGCCTCCTGTCTCTGTTCCTGACTCTCCTAGTGCCTCCTGTCTCTGTTCCTGACTCTCCTAGTGCCTCCTGTCTCTGTTCCTGACTCTCCTAGTGCCTCCTGTCTCTGTTCCTGACTCTCCTAGTGCCTCCTGTCTCTGTTCCTGACTCTCCTAGTGCCTCCTGTCTCTGTTCCTGACTCTCCTAGTGCCTCCTGTCTCTGTTCCTGACTCTCCTAGTGCCTCCTGTCTCTGTTCCTGACTCTCCTAGTGCCTCCTGTCTCTGTTCCTGACTCTCCTAGTGCCTCCTGTCTCTGTTCCTGACTCTCCTAGTGCCTCCTGTCTCTGTTCCTGACTCTCCTAGTGCCTCCTGTCTCTGTTCCTGACTCTCCTAGTGCCTCCTGTCTCTGTTCCTGACTCTCCTAGTGCCTCCTGTCTCTGTTCCTGACTCTCCTAGTGCCTCCTGTCTCTGTTCCTGACTCTCCTAGTGCCTCCTGTCTCTGTTCCTGACTCTCCTAGTGCCTCCTGTCTCTGTTCCTGACTCTCCTTGTGCCTCCTGTCTCTTTTTCTGACTCTCCTTGTGCCTCCTGTCTCTGTTCCTGACTCTCCTAGTGCTTCATCTCTCTGTTCCTGACTCTCCTAGTGCCTCCTATCTCTGTTCCTGACTATCCTAGTGCCTCCTGTCTCGGTTCCTGCCTCTCCTAGTGTCTCCTATCTCTGTTCCTGACTATCCTAGTGCCTCCTATCTCTGTTCCTGACTATCCTAGTGCCTCCTGTCTCTTTTCCTGACTCTCCTTGTGCCTCCTGTCTCTGTTTCGTACTCTGCTAG